AAAATAAACAAACCACTCTCCACAGTATACAAACCACTCTCCACAGTATACAAACCACTCCAAGTAACTCCTGGTTTTCTAACTCCTACTTGAAAGAGTCTACTTAATAGAGGTTGCTTTCAAATAATGTGAGCAAGCTCAGTGAGTTAGGGGTGTGCCTTTATGGGGATACAAATCCCACACAGGTGTAATTAATAAACACTCCCCCAATCAATCAAGCAGCAGCACACAAAAAAGGGGGGGAAAACCAGAACACAGACAAAAAAAATAAATAAATAAATAAATTAATAAAAACAAAAATAAACAAACCACTCTCCACAGTATACAAACCACTCTCCACAGTATACAAACCACTCCAAGTAACTCCTGGTTTTCTAACTCCTACTTGAAAGAGTCTACTTATCACAGGCTGCTTTCAACAATGTGAGCAAGCTCAGTGAGTTAGGTGTGCCTTTTATGGGATACAAACTCACACAGGTAATTCACAAACACTCCCCCAATCAATCAAGCAGCAGCACACAAAAAAGGGGGGGAAAACCAGAACACAGACAAAAAAAATAAATAAATAAATAAATTAATTAAAAAAAACAAAAATAAAAAACAAACCACTCTCCACAGTATACAAACCACTCTCCACAGTATACAAACCACTCCAAGTAACTCCTGGTTTTCTAACTCCTACTTGAAAGAGTCTACTTAATAGAGGCTGCTTTCAAATAATGTGAGCAAGCTCAGTGAGTTAGGGGTGTGCCTTTATGGGATACAAATCCCACACAGGTGTAATTAATAAACACTCCCCCAATCAATCAAGCAGCAGCACACAAAAAAGGGGGGGGAAACCAGAACACAGAAAAAAAATAAAAAAAATTAAATTTAAAAAAAACAAAAATAAAAAACAAACCACTCTCCACAGTATACAAACCACTCCAAGTAACTCCTGGTTTTCTAACTCCTACCTACTTGAAAGAGTCTACTTAATAGAGGCTGCTTTCAAATAATGTGAGCAAGCTCAGTGAGTTAGGGGTGTGCCTTTATGGGGATACAAATCCCACACAGGTGTAATTAATAAACACTCCCCCAATCAATCAAGCAGCAGCACACAAAAAAGGGGGGGAAACCAGAACAAAAAAAAATAAAATAAAAAACAAACCACTCTCCACAGTATACAAACCACTCCAAGTAACTCCTGGTTTTCTAACTCCTACTTGAAAGAGTCTACTTAATAGAGGCTGCTTTCAAATAATGTCATAAAATATCATAAAAGGTTGATATTGCAAACTACCTGTTGAGGGTCCCCTCTGATGAGCCAGGTTGGGCGAAATGCATGTGTCAGGGGTCCTGTTAGTGTCGTCTGTATATAGTTTGTTTTTCACATTTGTTCAATTTGAACTATTCTAATAAAATGTATTTATTGTTCAGAGTTTGGAAAACAACTGGCACTCTACTCAATCTATACTATATCCCAGTCCCCTTTGGTACTCTACTCTCTGTTCACTTATACAGCCCCTTCAAAAAAGGTACAGCTAAGCAAGCAATGTATGTAAATGAACACGACAGAACAAATAAATGTTGGCACAACAGATACCAATGTACGGACATGGTGTATGGAAGAACATGTAAAACAGACAACGCTAAGTTTAAAGGAAACTGAACGGATACAAAGGTGCATGATGTGATCAAATAGCAAAAATGCCATATTTATATAGGAAATTTGTCCTACAGGACTTGTAAATCCTAAACAACCATGTATGATACAAAGTACGAGTTTTGTCTATTTTCAATGGTGGTGGTGATGAATGTATTGATGGTGATTTCGCTCTTTCTCCTACCACTACAGACATTTACTTAAGCCTATCCCACAAGAAAATAAAGTTTGATACAGATGAATTGCAAGATAAGACCACTATTTTCTTCAACTACTGTGCCACTTTGTCTAAGTCTATCTCTAACCGAAGTAGAATTGGCTCATTTATTGGAAACACTTGTACCATCTCCTACCAGTATCAAAAGTAGCTCACCTAGTGATATTATTGTTAACACCACCATCTCCCTTCCCAATACCATTATTCAACCAAGTGCTAATTTAGAGGTTAGTGTTGCGACTGGTTCCACTAATGAAAGTTCGCTTTTTTTTTTACAATCTCTATTTTGTATTTTCTCAAATTTACAAGAATAGGGAAATACAAGAGTAGCATGAAAAACGTCAAATACATCATGGCATCTTGGCGTGATGGTCTACTGCGAATATCTGTCCTATGACTTGTATAACAAAATGCAAAAACTGTGTATGCAACTTTGTTTAAAGAACAGGCAAGGAACATAATGTTCCATATTTGGTTTGTGTACAAAGTTTTTGTGCGCATAGAGGAACAAGCAAGAGTATACGGACATTTTAACAAGAGCTCATGTAGTATGAAAACAATATATGTGTAGCTTAAAATGTCACAGCATATAATTGCACTTTTTGTGGTATTAAGTCAAGGAACAACATGTTAAATTTACATGTCTGGAAGGGGACGGTCCCTGTATGGCCAGTTTGTCTTTGAACAGGCCCGGCTAATATATCAGGACCATAACCGGAATAGGGCTGGGTAAATGATAAGTAGGTAGCAGTTATAACTAACCGGATAGAGAGATACTGCTCATTAACCCATGAACACTGGGGGTGGTGGGTAGGCACATATTGTTACCTTTGCATTCCAGGTAAGTTAAACAATGCTAATAGCATACTTTGTGTGGTCAAACCAATAACAGATCATTTATAAACTTAAAATATTAACGGAAACAGAATAGGTCAGGCTAATGTAAGGCTCGTTACTGAGTATAGTGATCATTACTGAGTGCCCCCCAGCTTAAACTCTTTGGATGAACGGTACAACTCGGTACATTCTCCCTGATAATGTCGAGGTCAGCATTGAAGGCCAGGATATTATTCATGAGGGCCTTTATGTCCCCCTTCGTGGCCAGAGCTTGTAAGTCTTCTGCTGGCAGTGTGGCTATATGCCCAACTGTGTGAGGGATTTCATTAGGGGCATCCAAGCCCTCTTCCTCGGAGGAGGAATAAGGGGAGTCGGGTGGCGCCGCCATTTTAGGTTTAGGCTGCGGTTGCAGAAGGTCGCTGATGCTGTAAGAGCTGTCCCCGGTCAGAGTTTTTAGTCTTTTAGTCTTTTGGTCTTTTTCCCCATATCTTGTAGGGGTTAATGGGCACTGTGTCTGCCAATATCGGGTGTCCAACCGCCTTGAGGTTTTTGTCTGCGTGATTTTCAGCCGGAGCTCAGCCGCCATGTGTCTGCTCCCTTCAGTGTCCAAACCACGCCCCCATGAAAGTTCATCTTTATCTTCATCAGCCAGAGGCAAAAGGTTGAGGCTACTATATAATGCAAAACCAAAGTTTGACATTACTTTGACAGCCTCTTAAAAGGATGAATTCTAAAATGTAAATTGTGCATCAATTGAGTAAGGGGAGAGAGGTGATCTCAGTAGTGCCAGTATGACCCAACATCTGCAAAGACACCACAAGTCTGTATTACTAAGGGAAGAAGCATAAAGAGACAGTACAAGGGTAGACAGCAAGTCCTTGGTACTGTATCTGAGAATGCTCAACCAACAGTCACCATTGCTACCTCCTAAACAACTACCACTGTTTAGCTTAGTGTCACTAAGCAACTGAGATAGGTGGACTCCTAGTCCTTATGCTTCCAGGGATATATCTGCTAGCCTACAAACATTTTGTTGCATTTTATTCCAGGGACATGCTTAAACAGCGGGCTAAGAAAACATCCACCCGATTTCCCAGCTGATTGCTGAAGGAATAGCTTGTGTTATCATGTTAGGAAGCCCTTACTCCAAAATATATCACTCCCTGCCAAATTCACTTTCAGCAGGAACATGGTACCATCACTGTAATGTTCCTGTGTGTTACTGTGTTTTACTGTTAAAGGAATAGATCAGTGGGTGCACTTGAGTGGTCAGCATTTCTTCCTCTCCTTGACTGTACACTGGTAGTAGACCATGGTGCCTGGGTATGAAAGAGGAGATCCACCAAAAATCTGTAGGGCAGTATTGCTATCAATATCTACTGTTACATTCTAAGGAGATGGATAAAAAAAACCACTCAGAAAACATATTGCAGGCAATCAGAAGAATGGTGTGAAATTGTTTGGGAGAGCAGGCATGCACCAATATGCAAAATGAGTTCATGGTCTATGGTGGACCTTTTCTTCCATACCCAGGCACCGTGGTTTACAACCAGTGTGCAGTCAATGAGAGGAAGGAATGCTGGCCACTAGAGAACTCTATATATCTATGGCAAAGTGCACCCACTGACCTATTCCTTCAACAGTAACACACATACGTTATTGTGATGATATGTTCCTGCTGAAAGTAAATTTGACAGGAACTGATATATATTTCCTAATATGAAAAGAAACTAAGCTACCCCTACAGCAATCAGTTAGGAAATTAGGTGGATGTTTTTTTTAGCCTGCTGTTTTAGCATGCCCCTGGAATAAATTTCAACCAAATATTAAAAAGCAAGCAGATATGTCCCTGGGATCAGATGGAGCTGCTAATATAATCAGAGCTCTGCAAGAGGGTTTCTTTGTAGGTGTGCACTGTTCTGCTCAAATCCTACATATAGTAGTGAAGCCTGCAATTCAAAAAGCCAACACAAAGGTGCAAACCATACTTTAACTTTGAAGACGGACTGTCTGGCATTGCCACCATAGTGTCAAAGCTAGCCAACTATTGAGGCAGGAGCAAAATAGGTCTTTCTACACCTCATCTATGACAGGATGTCAGGACACAGTGGAGTTCTGATTTAGACATGCTGTAAATAATTTTAGTACAGCAGAGAGTAATCCATAGTCTGTCTTCACACCATTCCAGAGGCATTGGACAATAATAGTGTCAGTTCTTATTCTACTTTACGATAGGACAGAAACTGTGAGCCAGATTGAGACAGGTCACCTCCTGTTCACCCACCACAGAAAAAAGGTAGATGCATTTCTGGAAGAAAAAAATATTTTATATTATTTAGTTCCTGGTGGAACACTCCACATCGATGTAGCTGCAGTGGGGGGAGGGGGGTGAAAGATCTGAGAGTATATCAATTGCTAATTGTCCTTAATTGATGCTTGTAATCCTAGAAATAAAAGGAAAGTGGCATTCCAATCGAACATCCTAACATACTGGAGTTATTAACATGGACTGTGATTTGCAACAAACAAGTGGTATGCTGGTTCAGTAAGATTTGCACATTGAACCTTACATGTTATTTTCTACTACTCCTAACAGCACCAGCATTACCTTAACTCAGCCAAGATTAGCATCTGTAGTTTGGGAGGAGGCTTAAGACAGTTTGTGGGGGTGAATCAGCAGGTTCTCAGAGCCATAGGCGTGCGCAGCCTATTGTATAAAGGTGTGCACACTAAAGCACAAACACACACGCTGCGTGTGTGTATATATATATATATACATATATATATACATATATATATATATATATATATATATGTATATATATATATACATACACATATATTGCTGTGTGTGTGTGGGGGGGCACTGTGTGTGTGTGTGTGTGTGAAGGCGCTGTGTGTGTGTGTGAAGGTGCTGTGTGTGTGAGGGTGCTGTTAGTGTGTGTGTGTGAGGGTGCTGTTAGTGTGTGTGTGAAGGTGCTGTTAGTGCGTGTGTGTGAGGGTGCTGTTAGTGTGTGTGTGTGTGTGTGTGTGTGAGGGTGCTGTGTGTGAGGGTGCTGTTGTGTATGTGTGATGGTGCTGTGTGTGTAAGGGTGCTGTGTGTGTGAGGGTGCTGTGTGTGTGGTGCTGTGTGTGTATGTGTGAGGGTGCTGTGTGTAAGGGTGCTGTGTGTGTGAGGGTGCTGTTTGTGTGTATGTGTGAGGGTGCTGTGTGTGTGAGGGTGCTGTGTGTATGTGTGAGGGTGCTGTGTGTAAGGGTGCTGTGTGTGTGGGGTGCTGTTAGTGTGTGTGTGTGTGAGGGTGCTGTGTGTGTAAGGGTGCTGTGTGTGTGAGGGTGCTGTGTGTGTGTGTGTAAGGGTGCTGTGTGTGTGAGGGTGCTGTTAGTGTGTGTGTGTAAGGGTGCTGTGTGTGTGAGGGTGCTGTTAGTGTGTGTGTGTAAGGGTGTGTGTGCTGTATGTGTGTAGATGCTGTGTGTGGGGGGTGCTGTATGTGGGTGCTGTATGTTTGGGTGATTGTGTGTATTGTGTGGGGGCCGTTTAGTAAATATCCCCCCTCCCTTCCTACCTTATGCCTGGGAAGGGGTATCCTTTCTGCTGCTTCCATCCCTGGTGGTCCAGTAAAGAGTGAACTCTAGTTTGCAGGGCTAGAGTTCACTCTTGCGAGATCTGAGCATTGCCACGGCAACGCTCCGAATTCCGCGAGAGGAACCCGGCGGAGCTACTGGCAAGAGCTCCCCAGGTCCTCTCCTGCCTCCCTCCCTGCCTGTGGGTCGGTGGGGAGGGAGGCTGATAGCAGAGCTGGCGCTCAGATAGCGCCGCCTCTGCATGAGCCGACAGGGGAGATCCTGAGATCTCCCCTGCCGGTCTCAATATACATAGGTGTGCTGCTGGGATTAGGGTGTGCCCAGGCATACCCGGCACACCCCGTGTGCACGCCTATGCTCAGAGCTAGTGGGATGACAAGAGTGCATAGACTACTTTGTGTCTGGTTACTCTGCAGCTATTGTGACGCCCACTGAATACAGTGGACAAATGGTTTGGATTTTTTAAATTGTTACTGTCGGCATCTGGATTTCAGTCCTCTGGCAGCATTTGGTTAGAGTGAACTCTTGATCACATTATGCTGATTTGGAGCCTTGTCTGCAAAATCCAGACTTTTTTTTAAATAGTGTGAATAATGTTTTTCATTCCAAATGGTCCAACACAGCACCAGATGATTTGCACCCTTAAGGACCAAACTTCTGGAATAAAAGGGAATCATGACATGTCACACATGTCATGTGTCCTTAAGGGGTTAAGGGCCAGGTCCCTTCAGCTTTTAGTGAATAGTACTGTTAGAACAATTTAGTATATTTGCATGGATAATAGGGTCATGTTGCTTTTTTGTTTGCAAGTTATAAATGTTCACATCTCACCTTGACTAGTAGAAAATTGTATTGCTATGTGGTCCCATTGCTAGAAGAGCATTTAATGAATGCATATAAATGTTTATTGCTTCACTTGCAAATGCTCATTTTGTGTTGATTGCAATTGCAAATGATAAGTGCAGTCAGCTTGTTAATCACAGTGACTCGTTCACTAAAGAGCTAATACTGTAAAGACATTGGGATTTTATGTCTTTGTTTTAGTTTTTTTTAAATTCCATTTCAAAATGCAGGAAACTCTTTAGCTCCGTTTGACTATATATAGAATATTTTATGTTTTCAGAAAATAATGTTTCACATAAAAAAAAAATAAAAAAAACAATACGGAAGGCACCCTCGTTCTGTGGAACTTATTTTAACTTGCTAAAAAGGCTTGCAATAGAAAAAGACAAAGACTGGATAGAAGCATTTCTACAGTGGCTCTGGGAAGCATTAATATAACGTTAGCAAGGGATTTCTATGGTTTTGTTTCATCAACCTGTCAAAAATAATTCATGAGAATGTTGTCTTTTGCAAGTGTTTTGTAACTGTGTGTTTTTTTATGTTCCTCAATTTAAGTGGTCTGCGTTATTTATTGTTTTATATGTTATTTAAAAAAATAAACATATTGCATTTTTAACTTTGTAAAAATTTATTATTCCTATTTTCCTGTTAGATTTGTAGAATATATTGCAAAATCATATTAAAATTAATAAAATACTAAAAATAGGTGGAGCACATGTTGAATATGAAGAAAACTTTAAGATCCACAGGCACATATAACTTTTAAAATGCATTTTATTATGCAGGATCTTAAAGCTATCTATTTTTTTTTTTATTTTTTTTTTAGAATCTTAAACAATCTGGGTTTTTGTCAACACAAATCATAGAAAATACCAATCAAAAAACTCCACTATACAGTATTTGTTAAAACAATGATACATGGAATAATTGCAAAAATATTCTAATTAGCATAATACTTATTGAATGTTTTTTTTTTATCTTAGGTTAAATAATTTTAAAATGTAATGACTATAAAACCTTAAAACAGATATCTATACTATGCATTTTCAGATGTTATCCTAAATAAAAAACAAATTAACTGACATTTAGCTTTTCTATCAAGTTAGTTTTTAAACTTTTTTTTTTTACTTTTTATATAAAAAGCTAAAAAACAAATCCCTA